TGCATAGATGTTGAAGTAAATCTTAAACCACACCATCATCCTCATCAATGAGTGCATATTCCAGCCGATTCACCACTTAGCTACCTCAAAATTTTATTTAGAACAAAACAGGTTCTGAGAGGTTGAGAAGTTGGGCTAGTCAATCATCCGGTTTGTTTGACTTTTCCAAAAGGTCGGAAAACACGCATAAAAGAACTGCATAATTTCCCATTATGTCGCCCCACAAACAAGGGAAGCAAAAGAGCACATTATTTTTTTTATTCACTGCGTTGTAGTTGCAAAAACAATTTTCGATGGGCTTACTTATTTATGCCAATAATTTATTTGTCACAAAAATGTCAGTGAGCAGTCTTGGTAGGACCTTACACGACAACTTATGACTCCTCTGCTGATTAAAGTGACCTAGCATTCTTCATGTATTTCGAGAAGAGTGTAATCGGGATTGTGGGGAGTAGCCTTAGTGTAGGGCGAGAATTCACGGCCCTCAACTTAGGAGAAGGGACACATGCGGGACATTGCAAGGCCATGAATTTATATTTTTGAAGTGGCAGTAATAATTGTAATTCAGCATATGGGGCAAACACCTACTTCCAAGTGATGAGAAGAGTTTGTGCCTCTTTTGGTGGGAGCTGCTGCACGAACTTGTCATAAAAATTTCGTTTAAGCCTAACGCCGTGGTATGATTCACTACGTCTTCCCATAATCCCATTTTTGTGAAATGACAGGTGACTAGCACATATCCTTCAAGTTGAAGAAAAAGGCACGAATGCATAACAGACCGAAGGGAAGTAATTTTGGAAAACGCATGTCTGGAGACGAGTTCCTCCTAATTTGACGCTTTGCGCTCGATAAAGTTTTCCACCCTTGATAATAGAGAATTAAAATGAGCAGCATTCACAAGTAAAACTCCAGAAATACTGTGAGCCACATATAACAGCATTTAAAATTTCGGCTGGATTTGATATAGCAAGGTTAATGTTGGAAAGAAAACCCGGAAAAGTAAAAGTCACAGGAGCAAATATTGATGTGCAGATCCACCAAGGATTTAATAAAAGTCTGTAAGCTTCTCATTGCAAAGGCTGCACACGCCAGTCAGTGCCACTTCACGTCTATCCACTTTAGGTGCTGACACATCTCCACTCCCTTATTTTACTTTGAACTGTTTAAGACTTCTCTTCACCTTAGCGCCACCCTATCAACTGTCTTTCATTAGCTTTCTGCTCTAATAACCGAATACTTGATTCGCCACAGCAGACTTTACTTGCCTACGTAGGACACTTTGTCATCCCATGTGTGAAGAAATTGGGTGGTGATATCATTAGTCATCACCTCATGTGAATACATGCACGCGCACGTCAATTCTGTTTTCAGTAGCAACGATGGTACCAGTCCCAGCATTTGTGACATGCATAAGTCTGCCGCGACGGTTACTCGTGCCGTCACCCGCCCAAAGACACTGCATCAACTGCATTTTAGAAACGTTAAAAGAGCTACAATGATTCATTTTATTGCTCTGTCCATCGTCATATGTCGGGGAAGGGAAGTCCATTTTGCTCAACTCAATCATCATCTACTAAGCTGCAAAAAATCTAAACGAGTGCTTAGGTGCATCCTGACTGCAATTTTTCACCATCCATATGAGTTTGGGATAATAAAGTAAGGCTTTATTACAAGCAGGCGTAATTCGGTTAGCTCCTTTAAATTCCATATGAAACAATCAAGTGTTCACTTCTGCAAACCTCGTCCAGTCACCCAGCGGCGCTCATGTCCGTGGGCTTACAGCACCCACTTAGGGAGGGACTAATGATTAAGATTTCGCACTTTTCTCCATTCCTCCTCTGAGCAAAATTTCATTCTCTTACGAGAACTTTTTTAGCACAAAAATTCGTAAATTGTGGACTCACTGCTTTAGTCAATTTAAAAAAATGCATTTAATGCATTTAAGACAAAAGAAATCAGAGTACGGAGTAAATGTCCCAATGGAATGATGCATATTAATTGCCTATCTGGCTTTACCAAACATGATTTCGATGGCATATGTGATAATGCGACAACACTCTCTTAAGCTTGTTTAGACACAATGCAGTAACCAAACGAGATTAATAAAACACCGATAAGAGCAATCTGACCGCCAACATTTAAACCACTAAAAGAAGCCAATACATTGCATAGGCAGGCATGCACGAGAATTTTCATGTGCCAACTTGAAACTAACACTGTAAACGTCCCCATCAAGATTAAAATGAATCAATTCAAGAGGAGTCGGTCAATCACTCGACTCATAAATTAGGCTAATAATTTTCATGAGTGACTCCAAAAATCGCATAAATTTTCAAATAACTGCACTAATGCCTTTCCATTATGCCCCTCGATTTTATCCACTAAGTTCACTTGGAATGCGTAGAAAGGGCCGGACGATTTACAGTGATATAACGTCGATCATAGCTGTTTCATATGCTCACCTCTAGCGTAATGGATTTGTTTCGTGCGTCTTGGCCCTACAAGTGTAGTTAGAGCAGGTAATTGAGTTCACACCGATGTAAGCAAGGGAGGGAGTCTCTCGGTCCAGTTCTAAATGCTGACCTAACGCGAACACATGCGATTTTCCTGTTGCGCAAACAACGCCTCAGAGAACACGCAGAAGCTATGCACTCTTAGTCCCAAGCACAACACAGCGCAGCACTGCAGCACGAAGTAGCACATCAACACCAGCAGCCAATCGGTGTGCTGAGCAGGTGCTGTGGTGTTGTTTTGCGCCAATTGAGACGCTCGCAGTCAGTCTTGCCTGCTCTCAATGACCCGTGGAGAAGGAAGGGATCACTTTCTCTTTCGGTGCCCCTTCATTTCGTACCACATCTCTCTGTCCTTCTGACGTGCACACCCACACATAAGGAAGGGGACGCAGAGAATATTTACGCTTCCTCTTTGCCAAGCTAACTTAGTCACCTATTTTCACACCACATCAGATTGTCAGAGCATACATACACACTATCACTCAGTCAAATACATCGGCCTATTCCAAGGACAATTTCGTTTCTGAGCTCTCATTCGGAACAAGAGGAAACTGTCACTAGAAACGCCTCAAGATGCCGTCAAAGTATGGAGGTTGGTTTCTCCTTTATAGCATTACTTGCCGTCTTCTATTCTACTCACTAAAAATAGACGCTTACCGGTCCTATGGCTATTTCTACCATTCACTCTTTCATTCAAGTCACCTCCTGCCATAGTAGCCTTGTAGTCGTCACTTTTTTTCTATCACATTACGGATAAATGCACAAGTCGTTGATGAGTGTTTACGGAAATGATGAAGGAGCATAAGATTGTTAGAAGAGGCGATTCTGCTTTTACAGTTACTTGCAATTAAACAGGCAGCTTCTAATGCTTAATTTTACGGAACTCTTTGGTAGATTGACTGCCTATCAAGGGCATCCAAAGTGCTTTGGTGTTAGGCTGCGCTATTTCCACTACTTCGGTTGCTTTCAAAAACAAACTTGGATGTTGTCCAAAATTTTTTTGCATGGGAAGGCTAAAAGCGTCGATTCATTACTCCCCACAAACTAGATTTGGCACTCTGCTTTGTGCGAGTTAGCTTGCCTAATTCTGAGTAGAAAATATTTTTAGATGCGTAATGGCAATGAAAAGCGTAATAAGGTAAACCAAAATGTTGTTTTGACTGACATCACTTGGGTTCTTCTTCAATTTCTGTGCCAGGAGTAGCCCTCATCCTGCCCACCACCTGTCCTCTTCCAATTACTCATTTGCAGAGGTCAGCTGCCTAACTTAGAGTGGCCTACCTCATGCTTTTCGTCATCCCTCTCCATCTTGCCATGTGATGGGATTTAATGCCTCTTGAGCACACACTCGAACCGTTGAGATGTTCGCCGAAACGCACACCTATTTTAACCATCAAATAACAACCTGATCTTACTTGAGTCCACTTCGACGGCGATGCAAAGCACTACCAGCAATATGCCAGTTCAACGAATGCACACTAAATATTTTTCGTTCCTTTTGTTAAAATGTTGTCTGGAAAATGTGATGATTGAGCATAGGGTTAGATATTCCTCCTTCATTTCTATGGCGAATTGGGACCGCCGTAATGTTTACGGTTAAAATCATGCCTATCAATCGCTGGAGCAACTAAGGTTTAGGAGGACCCTACCCTCCATTATAATTTCCTCTCAATCATCCAACAGTCTACCGTTTTGGTTGACCCCTCTCCCCAACTTGAAATGCACCTGCAAACTCATTATCCCTATTCTCGATCGGTAAGTGCATCCACGGCTCTAGTCAATATCCTTACGACAACTTGTTGGTGGTGAGGGCACTAAAGCCTCAATACCTAATGGCCATTGATGACGTCTGCCAAAATGTCAGATTTCAAAGTAAACCAAAATACTCATCCAATCCCCCTATCAGGACTGGTGGAGGGCATGACAATGACTCAGTTCCTTGTGTCTTGCAGATGTCAAACTACTGGAGCAATCTCTCCACGACTTCAAGGTGAGACTGCATTTAAGCAGGACGACTTTATTCTCCCTAGTCCAATAAAAAAATCAAGTCAAGTCGATGACTTTTACCATCTCACAGGGCCTTTTACTCACCTACGTGCTAGACGTATTTTCGTGCTCACAAGTCGGCGAAACAATTTCAGCACTGAGACTAACTGGCGTAGTGTTGTTTTTAATGAGATAAATTAAATGTACCGAAAAACGCCTATCTAGGATGAGAGGCTGTTTGTCAATAAAGTTTTTCTTCTCATCACCTCTATAATCCAATTTTAAGGTAATATTTTTTATTGCCTGCTACACAATTAATTATGTGTTAAACTATCGTCAGACTAGGTAATTGGACCTCTCGCTCACCTTTCCAAATGAATGTGGCTTGAGAATCATTCGTGCTCTAAAAATTTTTCCTCCGATAATAATGAAGTGATTTGTGTAGTTTTGCAGTTCCAGCGTTATTTTGTCTCTTGCACCTTTCAGTCAAGAGCACAGGAGATGAATGTGGGTGTAAACTTCAGAGCTCTTGATGAGGAACGACAACGGCAGGAACATCTGCTGCGAGAATTGCAGGAGATGGAGGCAGAACTGACTTCACCAACTCTGACCAAAACCAATCTACCTTACCTCGCCTCGCAGGTTGGCGTAAGTCACCACACTCTTCTTGCTTAATCCTCCAAATGAATGTAGGCTGAACTCGACCAAAACACCCGGTGTTTGCACTATCTCACCGGGATCTCCGAACTCGAGCGATACGTCACTGATGTGGCAGCGCACTGTGCTGAGCGTTCCATCGAATTGAGTGATCCTCAGGCGCTGCACAAAAATGTCTTCATAAGCAAGGTAGGTAGCTGAATATTTCTTTTTCACAGAGAGTACCACAGTGACGTAATGGCTTATGCCACACCCTGAGTAGAGTAGTCTATAGGAAGTATCCCCATATTCGATGCGTAATGCCTTCGAGCTAAATTGCCTGCCCCGAGGACAGAGACGGAGTGTGTCCCAGGACACCATGTTTTTTCCATCTTTGATGTTATCTTGTTTCAGACTCTGTCAGACAATGTCAAGAGTTGTTGGGAGTACGTCGATAAGTTGGCAATGCTGGCACAGATTCACATCAAAACTGCTGCGGAGTATCATCAAGTATGTCTGCTAACTTGGAGATTCCGAACAGTTAATTCTCCCTCATTCTATTTCAGTTCTTCCACGAGTCAAATGAAGTAGAGGCAAAGCTGGAGAAGCATTTGAGACAAGCGCAGAGACGGCAGCATGCAACAACTGGAAGGGAAGGGAATCTCAAAGATTTCAGCAAAACTGCCAACGAATTAAGCGTGAGTGGACGTTCTAAACTACAAATTCACCTGCTTATGTCAAAGTTAGTATTTTAATGGCGCCATCAATTCCAACATTCATCAGTGTTTGTTTCTTTACCTATCCAGCATTTACCTGCCATCTCACCGATGCATGAAGAAGGAATTCTGTCACCATTTAAAATAAAGGCGTCCGAATTTTGATGCAGAGAATGCTTGTGAAACCTACTTCTACAAAATTACATGTGAATTTCCTAAAAGTCGGAAACTAGTTGCCTACCGTTGTAAAGCTTTTGGCACTTCATCATCAGCCAAGTTAATTACAGGAATTTGCTGAGGCTAAGCACTCAAAATGCATCACAAGCATGGTTATTTTGGCAATAGAATTGGGTACATTTACGCATTCGGCCGTTGAGTTAGCCTGTGTTTGCACTTCACAAGGTAGTCATCCATGTCGCTTCCACATTGCCGTTTGCTGAGACAGCCCGCTAATGGGCTAAACAAACACGCCATGCTGCCAAACCTTGATAATTTCGTTGTGTGAATTTTAGGAACAACTGGAAAGCATGCGAAGTCTATGGAATCGCTGCATTGCCTTGTTGAAACGGAGCGAGTCCGTGGTTCCCATGCGCTTGAGGCTGGGAGGAGTAAGGAAAAGCCAGGTGACTTTGGATGTGGCAAGTGGCCAAAGTGGTCCCATCCTGGTGCGAGCACTGATAAGTCTCACTGGACCCAATTACCGAATTCAACAGGGAGAAGTGCTTCCTCTAGTTGACAACCAAAAGGACACACACCTCTGGAAAGTTCAAACCTCCTCGGGAGTTGTGGAGGTTCCCTCAGTTTGCTTCTGGGTGACGGGACACGATGCAGAAGCAACACAAAGAGCCATTGTGTAAGAAATGCCTTCCTCTTACTTTCTGTTGCCATCATACCTCTGCTGAATGAACAAGTCAATCAAAACATGCTGTCACCACTTTTGTACTAGCATGACGTTGATAGAAAAGGCTCAAAGGAGGTAGAAAATTTGTGACTGTAAAGGATACACTCAATCGCACACTGCGCCATTGGAAAATAAAATGTTACTGAAATGAGATCAGGCAGTCAAAGTGTGACCAGTTTAATTAAGATTCTATAGTAAGATAGGTGAAATCAGCTTCGCAGTTTAAGTTCCAAGCCAATTCTGACTAGAGTTACTCTTATAGGCTTAAACAACAGTGCAAAAAGACCTGGTTGGAAATCATCAGACTATTTCGACAAAGACTCTATCATGAATACACTGAAATCCTTCCGCAACTAACTGCGGAGAACGTAAGTCAATCAATCAATTGTTTGTCCTTTTAATTGGATTGAACCATCCTTGACTCTGTCAAGTACAAGCTCTTTTGCACGCAATATCTCAGTGTCTCTAGTCTCGTGGATCACGACCAAATGTAAAACAACTGTAGTTCTATGTTTATGATATGTTTCGAGCCCAGTAGAGGGCAGCTTTGCCCATCCTAGGCATTACTAACACTTCAGACCTCAACACCTCAACATTTGTTGTTTCCAAGACATGGAAGTGTAGTGAGGCTTCATTTACCACAATGCACCACGGAAGAACTTGGCTTTGTGATTTCTAACCTACTTTTCCTTTTCGCTAGGTCACCTGCACCAAGGCAGAGCTAGTGGGTGACCTTGTTACCGACATTCACAATCACCTTATAACCCATCTTGATGAAAATGGAAGGCTGCGAAGCGTAGTAGAGAACTTCCAGCGATGCATCACCAATTCGAGGCGTAAGTGCTCTCGCTCCAACTTCTCAAAATCCTGTTTGTCTCGAATCTTGTAACCCAGCCACCTTTCCCAGCAAAACATTACATCACCGTTTGATGTTTCATTTTGCGAACGGTATAACATTGTTCATTACATAAGGAAATGTCTTTGATAATCTAGAAGGAACTTCTGTCGAAGGACATGTTCTGCGCGAATCCGACTTAATACGTCTTCGATCGCCTCTGCTACGATTGGAGGATCACCTAATGGCTGTTGGTTTGATGCAAGAGGATATGAAGCGACTCAACGAATACCTTGAAAATTACCTAAGTGAAGTGAGAACCGAGCAAAATCGCATTTCTAAGATGGTGGAAAAATTGGTGTAAGTAATCGTACCATCGCGTTCGCTCAAAGTCACACATGCATACTGTTAGAGGGCTTAAAATGATTGCATTGTCAGCGTCTCATCTGTCCTCTGCAAATCATCCCACTTACACCTGTTCAACTATATTTATAACGGCATAACACAAAAAGAGATGCGTACTTTCGGAAACACTTTAGAAAAACTCATAACGCAGTCTTAGGCCTTCTGAACGAACACATGTTTCTTCAGTTTTGCTACAACATAATGGGCATTCGAAGGGTGAGAGACTTGTGGATCTTGGGGAAATAAACTAATAGCATTTCCTTTTTTCAGGACAATCGCCACAGAGAGCCAGGCTCAACTTGCCGATCTTGTAAACCACCTGGGCAAATTTGGAGATAATCCTTCTGACGAATCACAAAGTGCAAGAGCACAATTGGAGTCAGCATACAGAAGTAGGAGTCAACCGTTTGATCTTGAGGTCAAAAAGAATTTCAAAGGAGGAGGATGTGGAAAGAGAACTCGAAGTCAAACCGTCCACCTCTTGGATGCAATGGTCCAAATTGGCACTGAAAGCAAATCTGCGGAAACACAGTGTCGTGATACTACGTCTGTGATAGATCCACCGCCGCGAGAGCCCAAAAACACACTCGTTCAACCGAACACACGTAAACCACCAGTCCAACGATGTGTCATAACCCAGATCGGACCTAGCAATAAGGAGACCTGCACACAAGTAGATATTTCGGATTCTTCATACTCGGAAGAGTGCTACGTGGCCGAGGACATGAAGGGAATTGTGAAACGTAGCACAAAAGAATTAATATCCGACAGGCGGAGGAAAGCACGATCAGCATCAAGACCACCAAAACGACCACCAGTAGTGCAGGTCAACACTTGTACTCAACTTGGCCTCATGACTCACGAGAGATCAGTAAGCCCAATTCATGCTCTACTGGAATTGTGTCCTAACTGCCAGACAAATGAATTTTTAGAAGTTCAGAAGGAGTATGAGGAAACCTTTAGTTTAACTCAGCGCTGTCAACCAGTCGCATATGGCTCCATTCAATCAGAAATGTATGGAAATCATGTTTGTAAAAGAGTACAATGCGGATATCCATGCCTGAACGACAGAAGTAATCTATATTGTCAGGTAGACGTCCTCGGACCTCTAGTGGATGATGCTATTGTTCAGTCACAGGCGTTACGGTGTAACGGAGAGATTGGAACCATTGAAGAGTTATTTGAGGTTGACCAAGAGGCGTTTTGTGAGACAAGATTTGTACCCAGTGGATGTCACTTAGTATGCAAACGAGTACAGACAGGAGTTCCCAAGATGTGTGATTTGGCAGATTCATTCTCGCAAACTCTAAGGACTTGTGCTCGTCCAATTTGTGACCATATGACATCTGCGACTCAAATAGGTATAATGACTAGAGAGCGAGAGTGTAGCCCAGTCCACTTTGGAGATTTCGATAGTTCAGTTCCTTTTCGGCGTAAATACATTCAAGCACAGGTACGACAGCCAAAGTTTCGCAGCAGAGAACCTACGGTGACAGCAGAGGCCTTAAGAATGACGGACTGGAGTTCAACGGATGAAGCATTGCAGATGACGCATTGCGAAAACTTATATATCGAGCCCACCATAAGACATTTGCATGAAATGAACTGCAGTGGTTCCTTTTTCGATTCCTCTGCATTACAGCACGCAAATATTAATAGTTCCAATCCAGAACTAGACCGAATATCTAAAAAGGGAGTCTTTTCTGTGAACTCACATGGAGAGCTACGTCCCAGAGATGCTTGCTTTGGAACTTGTCAGGGGCGACACAAAATGATGTTGCGTGCAGCAACCACTGCAGAAACAGAGTATCCCATTGTTTCACGAGCTTCTCCCAGCCTGTGTCACATAGCCTCGAGTATCTACCCCATCATTCATCCAGTAGATAGACGTACCGCTCGCCTCCAAACAAAAAGCCTTCCAAATCTCCTAGAAGGAGTAAGCCAGATTGAAACTCAATCCTCAAATCTTTCTCTCGAAGAGATAGAATCAATACAAGGTAACTACAACGCTACTGCAAATCGAACATGCTACAACACACTGCAGACCATTCCTAGCCCAAGGACACTTAGAAATACTGCTTGCATCCAGTCTAGCAGTCTTCCGAGCGTTATAGATAGCGAATTTCACATAGAGCATGCAGTGAGTTCAGGAGAACTGCAAACCCTAGATTCAATTCCCTCTGAAAGGTTCTCGAACGATAAACTCATTGGAAGCTGCTCTGCGAAATCTCAACATAAACAATATATCCACCGTCAATTCGGTATTGCTGATGGTTATTGTAATGTAAGCCGTCGGTCGGTTAGTAGATCTTTTGCGGAAACACACGCCTCTGAGGTTCCGGTTCGTCAGTATTCGGCGCAGGCGTGTAAAAAAGGTCCGGAAGTTGCGATTGCTGAGATTTCACAACACGCATCACATATGTCTGACGTTGGGATTGCTGAAGTTCAAATCCATCCATTTGTTCATCAGGAAAATAAAAAGGTGCAAGTTCGTGAACACGCTATCAAATCTGTGCATCGGATTTGCGTTGAGACACCAGCGGTCGTTCGGTATGATGTGACTTGTGATGCCATGATCAAGCCTTCACGGATGTCGAAGAAAGCACAAGTAGAAATACCTGAAGAACCTATCCTTGCCATACCAGTGAAGGAACCGAACGTTTACGCAGAGCCTCCAATGCCTAAGACCACTTCAAATATGGCCATTCAAATGAGTGAAATCATGAAAGTTGTAACAGCACAATTAGCATCTCAAATGGAAAACAAGAAAGTACAATGCGAGCCTTCACTATCCTGCGCTGTTGTCAGTTGCCAACAAAATCCCCAGACAAGTAACAAGAAACTACAAGTGAGTGTACAAATGTCAACTGACATGAGACTTGGTGGTGCTGAGACTACACCCATATTAAAAACTACATATGGAAAGAAACTACAGGTGGATTTGGCAGCAGAACTATTGACTCGACAAACACAAACGATTCCAGATTCGGAACCGGAACCCATTCTAATGTCAACTCCACTTCTTCAGTACTCGGCGCCACCAACCGCGTCTGAAGATTTCAGTTGTGATGCGCCAAGACCAGTTGATGTCCTCAGTAAGTCAATTCAATCAGATCCTATCAGTGTACCCCAAACGTTGGAAAAAATGCTCCAAGTAAAAATAAATGAGTCTCTTGAGAAATCCGCATGTCAGTCTTGGGTACGTGGCATCGATTCGTTTACTCAATTCGAGCCCAAGGCATTGGTGGTAGGCACCTCTCAGTCAATATGGGAAGAACCTGAGCCAATACTGCTACACCCGCCCACACCTACTCCATTAGTTATGGCAGCTCCACCACTATCTGGCGTTGACGATGGCTGCGATCCTATCCATGCATTAACCACAGAATCCGCCTCTCAAGCAGAGAAAATGAAGACATGGGGAAAGAAATTGCAGGTTACACCTGAGTCATACTCGATTGCTACCATGAATACATGCTACGACGTACCTGTAAAGCACTCCATTTCAACGCAAGCGGGGCCCATATCAACTGCAGGAAAAGATGTGCAAATAAAGCCAGTTCCATTAGCATTAGTTAAATCTCAATCTTCGTGGGTGGAGCCGCCATCGATTGTGCTTCAGCAAGAACTCACACCTGTTTATTCTGCACCACCTAAGAAAACCCAGGACTTTTCCTCCGATGCACCCCTTATGCCTCAAATGATCGGCAAGAAGCTACAAGTTACACCCCAACCGTTGGCGGCAAATGTCTCACAAACAACTTACTTTGAACCGAAACCAGCGCCTCTTGCAATTGACAGCTCGCAGTCAATATGGACCGAACCAGAACACGTAATAATCAAGGCACCAACTCCTGAACCTATGGTAATGGCAGCACCACCACCACCTACCAGTGAGTTCAGCTGTAATCCTTGTCCGCCCGAAACCCAAGGCAAGAAACTACAAGTGATTCCCGAACCTTTGGCGATCAGCAGTTCACAAACTGGACTTAAGGAAATATTAATAACTATAACTCAGAGAGTTCAGGAGCCTATTCAACTATCACTAGGAAAATGTGAATCGCTATATGAGGAGAGAAAGATGCCGGAGTACAAAAACGGCCTCGCGCAATGCAAGAATATTGAAATTAAGGGTAAAAAACTTCAAGTGTCTCCACAACCATTGGCAGCAAACACAGCACAAACGATGTACGTCGAGTCGAAACCAACCCCAATGGCTGTGGGCACATCGCAAGCACTCTGGACCGAACCACCTCCAATCACACTA